TGGAAAGAAGTCTTCGCATTGCTCCAGAAGTTGGTTGAATGCTACATTGAACATCCTGAGATTTGTATTTTTTTGTCGAATTGTAGCAGTCCATATTCAATGTTGGCTCGGGGGATTACCCAGGGGAAAGTATTGGGTGTATTGGGAGTTGAGAAAATGCGAAGCGAGGAGAGTGTGTTAGTGAGGAGAAAGGAATGCCAGACATACTGGTACCGTTATGCGTTACGTTACCAATCGGTCTTTCCTCCTATAAGAAGTTATCACTTCAAAAATGATTGTGAGAGTATCAACAGTGATATGGAGATTCCAACAAAAACATAAATAGATGAGTATTATTTCGATAATTCACCATTTGATTTCAATTCGAGTGTAACCGGTAAACAGCTGGTTCAGCCTATCGAGCATCATTAGTACCATGTCTTCAGAAAATCTACAGAAGTAAGATAACAAGGTCAAAGAATGATGACTGATTTTTGTTATCTCGGATACAATCTGGAATATCAAGTCGATGAACAAATATAATTTTCATTCGATAAATGATTTCATTTTAGAAAGGTGAAATCAAGTTTTTCAAAATTTTTATAAAATAACCATATGGAAATGCATATAGTTCTAAATCGAGAATACCTGAAAAAAAAGCTGTAAAAAACAATTTTCGAAAATTTTCCATAGGCGCGCCTGTGTAATTTGTGTTTATTTGGGAAAAATTAATTTCTGTATTTCATGATTTCAATCTAATAATATTCATTCGATTTCACCTCGTCAATATAATATGTGATTACGTATTTGAAAAAATATTGAAAACTGATATTTGTTTATTCACTCAAATCCATCAGACGTGAATGAATGAATTGAAATCAAAATATTTCATAACCTCTTCAATTTTTTTTCATGATGTTTATTCATCAGATTTCCAGCACTTGGCTCCCAAAAATATTATCTTCAAAATGATGCAAGTGTCGATATTATCTATATAATCGAAATAGTAGTTACCGAAGGACGTATAGAATTAATTATTGATATTTATGTATACTAATTATCGTTTTTTATACGGTTGTAATGAATGTATATTCACCGGGAAACGTGAAAATATAAAGTGGGTACTACCGTGAATGGTCTTAATGTGAATAGTTCATTCATCGTATTAGGTAGTTCTTACAGAGCTTCGCTTATGAGTTTTCTGACTAAAATTGTTATTTATCTCAGTATAATTTGATATCAACGATGAATAACAATGGGGAGAATACATTGAATCGAGTTTCTGTTTAAGCATGACAGTTGAATCCTTCACCTATACCTATTGTTACTACGCCACTAAAATAGATTCTTCAATCTGATAAGATTAGTTGTTTTTCATTCGGACACATACACGTACCTACTCTATACTTTCATTACCAGTACCTCCATTTCATTGCCTACAAACCGGGTTCAAACCTACAGGTCATACTCAAAAACTTTCAACAAATATTCAAATGGAGACACGAAAAAAAATTTTTGTATTGATCTTGAAAACCTGAAGTATCTAACAGCAGCTGATCCTATTCCTAGTCACTAGATTATGCATATTCGTGTATGTGATACAAATGTTTTTTCGCTCCTTATCAGCACCTCACAAATGAATCATTCGGTGCCCGACGTAATTTTGATTTCGTATATATGAAGTTTTATCATGTAATTAACGGTTTTTCGACACTTAAACTGCTAATTGAACCTACTAAAGTAATCCGGTTGCTTCAATTGTCGGCGAAGGATATTACTGAACGAAATGATGGTTAGAGTGGGTTGAAGGATGTATTCACCTTCCATGTCAATATTTATGTCATCATTGAATTTTTTTATTATTTTTGTTGTTTACTGAATCGGGACAAATTAAGTTTGGAAACGAACAAAATCAATGTTAATACATATTAATGAAAACAACCTTCTTTACATATCTTCGTTCAGTCACATTTCATCAATCTGGTTACAGACTAGTCTGTACCCTAGGCCATGTTCTACAGAGACTGGTAGGGGACGCATATTACGGTAAGAAATTGGGAAGTTTTTCTATAATTTTATAATTCAATGTGATAACAAAACACAATGCGCGAAATGATGACGGGCTCAGTCTGATTTAAAACACTTTTTTTTGTCATGTGATACGGTTAGACTATTTTCTCAACTATCATTATTATAAGTAAGCATGCAGTCTCCTTGCGAAGACACCATCTATTGGATCGACAGAAAACTCAAACCTTGCTCATCTGAGATATTCAAGAAAATATACGGTGGGTATCTTTTGCAAAATCTAACCCCGATATCAACTGCCGAATTAGAAATGGGCTTGATTCCATCAAGTTGTCTTGGTGGTGTGACGATCAATGTCGAAGCATGGCTTTGAAATATATTGCCGTGGAGACACTTATTTATTTTGGATCAACAAAGTTTCAGTTTTTTGTCGATTCCTTTTGTGTAAAGAGAAATTGCATCCTCACCCTTGAATAACCCAAAAATATACCTAACTCTAAAAAAAATCTCAAAAAATTACAATCACCTAATCACCATTCACTTATATTGAGGAATTTTCTTTTAGGATAGTTGAGTGCAACAATGTATTTATGATGAATGCCAGAATCACTAGTGCTTTAGCAAAACAACGGCGTTAGATAACGGATGCTTTGTGTTTGAACTCTGGTTTTATCCGATTGTAAGAAAAAAGTATTAATATAAGTATTCGTTAGTACCCAGTTATAGTAGATGGTTAGCAATAGTAAATAGTTTGATTTTTCATTTTTCAGACCAATCATCTTTTGCTTGTTACTATTCTAAAATTAATATAACATACTTCAACAGAGCTTTTTCATAATTGATAACCTATTGTTTTTTTTACGAAAAACTTTGTTTTTTATTGAATGCTCTTCTGTGCATTGACAATTCAAGAACAAAAACTTTGGACTTTGTTTCAAAAGTTTTGTCCGTTTTTGTCTACTTCAAACTGTAATATCTCAGTGAATACTTATTCAATTCAATCGAAATAACTCAAGTCGATCAATTCCATCAGCATAAAAATTGTTTGCTCGGGATTCGATGTAGTCGACAAAGGTCATTTTTGCCTGGTCCTGATTAGCGAGGGCTCTACCGGTGATAAAGTTATCGAAAGGCTTGGAAAGATGGCAGTCGGTTGGCGTTGATGTGTGAAACGTGGAAAAATTAGGGAAACTTTGGTGCAAGTGTGATCAGCAGATGTCTCTGATCACACTTGCACCAAAATTAGTTCTCTTTTGTTCCATGACTTATCATCTACAAACAAACACACTTTTTCAAACTGAATTACATGACAGCTGATGTCTCTGATCACACTTGCACCAAATTAGTTCTCTTTTGTTCCATGACTTATCATCTACAAACAAACACACCTTTTCAAACTGAATTACATGACAGCTGACAGTGTCAATTGTTTTGTGTCTCTATCTTTTGTTCTTCAACCTCATGGCTTTTACCGGTAATCCATAATTTTGAAACAATTAACGATTTTTAGTAAAATTTTAATGTAATATTTTTTTTGTACATGCAATACTTGAGTAAACTTGAATGTAGAGTTATTTTACAAAGCGAGGAAGATTTTGTACCCTGTGAAGAGTCAACCTCTTTTAATTAGTGACTTGTTTATTGTATTGACATGTTTCAATTGTTTAAATGTAACATTCTTTTCGACACGGCCAACCTTACTAACAGTAAGTGTGACCTTTCATATTATTAATTTTTTACAGTGTATTACCATCATACAAAATTTGTAGCTTTTCCCTGAAGATGATAATAAATTTTATCGAAATATTGGAGAGTACACTTCCGTTCGGCTGATCACCCAAAGAAAATTCCCAAGTTTTGTATATATACAGGGTGTCCCTGGACTTCCTCTTTTCCTCTCGGGAATGTATAGAAGAGGTCAAAATATCACCAGTACTTCATATAACTTTTTTTCCTAAAAGTCTTCGTAACCAAGTTACGGGCCCTTGAAGTTACAAAATGAAAAATGTTTTTCTTTGATAACTNAAATGCTCGGAATACAGACGACGAGCTTCTGCAGCATTACAAAATGCTCGTCCATAAAATACATGCATATCTGCATATTCATTGAATGTAAACTGTTCGGCCATATCAAAAAAATTCAAAATATCCTATAGAATATTGACAATACAATGATAGTCATATGAAAACGCACCACTCAACAAAACAAAATCGCATTCCAGTTTCTCATTTTTTATCAAAAAGTCTCCTTCGATAATGAAGATCATCAAATGAAGTTAATCTGATGAATTCTTGGTATTAGTTATTTCTGTCATTGTCTTTTCCTACCTGTTTACATACTATTGACTACTTGATTATGATTACGAATATTTATTTGGTTTCTAACTGTAATTCTTGAGAGAGTAAACAACGAACTGTTCGGTTCAGGACATTTGTCGCTGTTCATAGATCTCATTCCACATTTTTCGATTTCTAAACTTTCGTAGACCTCTAAATACCATTTGGCATGTATCGGTCTCAACAATTTCAAACAGTCATTACTTTTTCTCTGATCTTTGTTTAAGGCATGTTGAGCGACACCAGACGTCTCTGGTCTATGAAACAAATTATATGAAACATATTCCTCATAGCGAGCTTTTATAGTCCGTTCAGTTTGACTAATATACAACGCTCATTTCGTAGGTTAAGAGACATTTCGTTCTGGTGTGGGAAAATATTTTCATTGATCGCAGAACGTTTTTCGTTGAATAATTCGTGATGTTATTGCTCCGCATTAACTAAAGCCTGGCGAGTTTTGTTATATAGATGTCGCTAATTGAATCGTTTTAAGAAGACACCTGCAGTTTTGGTATGTGAGAGATTTTTGTCTGAGCATTCTGCAACTGTGGTTTCACTTTTTAGAAGAATTTAGTTTCGATAAATATTCAAATCAGCACCAAAAACGTTCTCCAACCGAAAGCAAATGAAAACACTGATTGATCTTTCTTTTTCAGAGCTTTACCTAAAACATCTGCCCGCTGCTCCTATTAAAAGCCACCCCACCCCTGCCACCAGAACAAGTTACAACGGCCGAAACAAGAACAAACCTTTGTCTACAGCATAGAATGGTAGAAGGTGAACCGCCATTGAATCCAAAGAAAGACTCTGATGTAAAAGAAGAGCGAGTTGTGAATGGCTGCGGATCAAGAGATCTCGAGCTAGGAAACTTAGGAACACTTAAAGACATTCAGACCAAAATCCCATCGGATATTGACAAGAGTAGCGACAAGGCGGACTTCGAAAAAGCCATCGAACTGACTAGGTATGAGAGTGTAATACAAATTATCTATATCGTATCGTATATTGGCCCAATGCGACTTAAATCTCAATACCAAGACCAAGGGGTGGCTCAATTCCATCATTTTCATTGGAATGATGGCCGGAGCCTACGTTTGGGGGTCAATGGCAGACTCCTTGGGCCGTAAAAGAGTGCTCATCGTTAGTTCTTTTATGAACGCCCTCTGCATCGTAGCGTCCAGCTTCTCGCAGTCATATCAGTTGTTCATGGTTTTCAGATTTCTAAACGGGGTGGCGTAAGTGAGTCAACGTGTGCTTTTTTCTTTATTACTTATGGCGATTTATCTGTTTCAGTTTGGGGGGCAGCGGACCAGTGATATGGTCCTACTTCGCAGAATTTCAACCCAAATCCAAAAGAGGTTCCATGCTTTCCTTCATGGCGGCTTTCTGGACTTTGGGTAATTTATTCGTAGCCGGATTGGCATGGTTAATCATTCCACAAGATATCGGCTTCAGGAACGCAGACTTTGTGTACAATTCTTGGAGAATTTTCCTTTTGATATGCTCTTTTCCATCGTTCATAGTGGCTGCATTACTTCTCTTCCTGCCGGAGAGTCCGAAATTTTTACTTTCTCAAGGTAGAGCTGAGGAAGCTATCGCTGTTTTTAAATATATTTATCACGTCAATACCGGTAACGATGGAGAAGATTATCCAGTCAAGCATCTCATTTATGAGCAGGAAGAAGTCACACTGGAAGAAAAAATTAAAATAGAAAGTAGAGGAAAATACGCGAACATGATTGTTGATATCCTGGATAACACTAAGCAACTATTCGTTTCACCTATATTGAGATACACTCTAATATCCATCACAATCAATTTCACATTCCATATCGGGTGAGTATCGTGACTCATTTGCTAACCTTTAATTTCGTTTTCCCATTTCCTCTCAATTCAACTGACATGATGTTCGTCCGCTCCAGGTACTATGGCTTGATGATGTGGTTCCCGGAACTCTTCAATAGATTCGACGAGTATTCCAGAAACAATAACGAAACGGACGCTTCTGTTTGCGCAGTAACAGACTACGTCGTGAATATAGGCAGTCATATGGAAGGCGGAATTTGTTCCGACAAAATATCCTCGACAGTATTCATGGAGTCTTTGATCACAGTATCTGCAGCACTTCCAAGTAACATAATCGCTATTCTTGGAATGGATAGACTTGGACGAAAGTTTTTCCTAGGTAAGTTATAAAGTGTTTTCACTTCTTGATTTCGACTATCAGTAAGAAGAAATAGAGCAACACAAGACTCTCCTCGGGAAGAAGCTGGAGCAAACTTGGTGAATAATTCCAGTGGAAGCTTAATGCCGCATTATTGGCCACCTAAAACAGACACACGAGAATCAAATAATTCAAGTAATCTCTTGGTGTTCAGATTTACCTGAAAAGGATTAGGGTTAAGGTCTCCTCTGGAGAAAAGTGAGTAATTTTTTGCAACTCATCGTTAGCACAGAAGACTACCAAGGGTTAAGTAGCCAATTCGCCAATCGGATCCATGCGGAGCGTTGCAGATAAATTTTTGTGTAGATCGGGATTTTAACCACGTGGGAAACGAGGTGAATTTAAAAGTTAGTGTGGAAATTGGTGTTTTTTATCAATTACTAAACTAATTTTGTGTGAGTGCGACTCTACAAAACATTAGTGAGTCAAACTGTCTATATTAATTCTATTGGTGCTTTAAGTTGCAAAACTTTCACTTACTTAGCTTTGTGTAGTCTTAACTGTCGATGGGGGACGAATCCCCCGGTCCCCCTGGGGGCCATTCCTCAGATGCAAACATGACAATAGATAATACAAACCTAATATCAAATAATCTTCTATCCCCTTCCTCTCAAACATTTATTAAATCCTTGCATCAAATGTCCCCTGCACAGTCCCAGGCAATAGAAAAATTATAATCCAAACTCAGTATTCTATCAGAACAATTTAAAAATGACCAAACTATGCTTATCCAAATTAATGAATTGTATCGAAAGCTACA